GTTTTTTAATTCCATTGATTAATAAATGTTCTTTATACTCACATACTAAATTAATGCGAATAATGAAATGAATTTAAACGCAATGAATGAATGACATAAATAAAGTATTTATTTATTTATTATTAAATGTTCTTTATACTTACGGGCTAAAAAAAACAACAAATAAATATTTATGAACTTAATAAATCGCCGATATAAATTGATGAATGCATTTTATACTTACTCCCTAATAATTAAAAATTGTATGAGATCTCAATTTCAAATAGAGAAATTACAAAATATTGTAATAAAAAAATTAAAAATTAACTTACTTCCAAAACCATACATCAGATTTACCTTCATCCTTTTCCACGCCAATTCCATACCAGTAACAAAAATGGCAGTTTTCCAAATTCCATTGGAATTACCAGTCTGAGCAGATTTCAGATAATATGAAAACGCTTTTTGCTTATCGATTTCGACGCCAATTCCTAAATTATAACAATAACCAACTTGATACATTCCGCTAGAGTTTTTCATTTCTGCTGATTTTTGATAATGCGTGAATGCCATGTTTTCGTCCCTTTCTACTCCAATCCCATATTCGTAACAATAACCGAGCCAGAAAATTCCGTCTGGATTGTCCGTATCTGCCAATTTTTGACAATCTGAAAAATTCAGTTTATTAAAATCATCGATTAATTCGTTTGGCATTTTTGATTATCAAAAAATAAAAAAAATGGATACTTATTAGAGTGGACTGAAACATGTAATGCGCATATATTTGCAATTTTCCCCTAGATCGCCACCAAGTGTAACATACCGAAAAATTCTTTAAGTTCGTTTAAGGCCTATGCTAGGGTTAGGGTTAGAGGAGCTTTAATAGTAAAATCGCTCAAGGAAAACTTTTTGTTAATACACAGAAGATGGTTTACTATTTGTCAAAACTGCATTGAAAATTATAATCAACAGAATCATAGTAAAAACCTATAAAAGGATTTTATTTATTTATGTAATACGTATAAATTATATTTTTAAAATATAGACCAAAAAGCAAATCAGAAAATATTGAAACGATTGATCTAACAACTAAAGGATCTTTAGCTTGTTCGTCTATAGTAAACATTTTAAAAATCTAAAGTAAATCTGAAATATCCAACTTCGTCTGAAGTAATAGCAACTGAATCTAATATAATATCCAACTTATGAAACACAAAAATAAAATAGTGATATCGATCTCTGTCATTAGCAAAATAAGCTCATTATTACATAATCGTTCATTACCGAAACCAAAAACTTATCGAATCGGCCAAACAATCATTCAGTTAATTTATACTAGATGTCCCAAAATTTATGAGAACAACTGTCAATTATCGTTATTAAATTGAGGTTGGACTCGCTCCAAAAAAACCTTATCCGTTGGTCAGACCTTTTGATTATCCGGGTATATCTGAATAATATGCATTGATCAATATTCTTTACCTTCATTAAATGATCGCGAATGAGATAGAATTGAAAATATATTTACTGTATATGACAAATTTCTGTGAATTTAATTAATCCCGTCGATATACATTAAATTTATGAATTTACTGTAAATCACCGGAGTTTTGATAATCACGTTACCTACTGACGATCGTAGCCAAATATACACCTGATTTTTTTAATTAAACTTGGCAAGCGCATATACTCTAAAATTTTTAGGAATTTTAAATAAAATTTTATTAAGTCGTATTTAGCATTTTGATCAAAAAAAAGAAAACTAAAAAATTTTTTATTAGGTCGACGCATTTTAAAACCCTATAATAGTTGGTTTTAAAATATGTTATTCTCCGTATCTAAAAGTATATAGGATTAAATTTTCAGAGTAATTCAAAAAATTTTCTCATAAATCATTGAGTTTAATTAAAAATTTTGACAAACAAAAATCTGCAGTTTTCATACCTTAAAATTTGTTATTCTGTACAGCTTTTACTTACTACGCCAAGTTTAATTTCTCATTAAAAAAATCAGGTGTATATTTGGTTAGTAGGTAACGTGATTATCAAAAATTCCGGTGATCAATGTCAGGGGAGTGTACGTACATTGTAAATGTATAAGCTTTAACTTAATTATGCTAGATTAAGGGTGAATAAATAAAATTAAAAGCGATAACCATCCAAATAATTTATATTAACTGCTTTTGAAAAAGATAATAGTCGAATGAATTTATTGAATACACAAAAATATCGTTAAGTTTTTGCCGCTCACATATAAAATAGTTCCCGCAGCGAAAGTACGAATAAGTAAGCTAGTAAATTAGACCAAACTGATCCAGACTAGTCTGGTCTTAAGACTAAGAGCAGATCAATTTTTTTTAGGTTCAGACTGATCCTAAGACTAACTGCAGTCTATTGGTTTAAAGTTTTAACAATAAGTCATGATAGAAGTCATGATAATTCTAATGCAAACTAAACTTTAACCACACATTTATATGTCAAGTTTAGTATTTGAATTTTTTGAAGCAAGTTACGAGATAATTACAATGCAAACTAACTCAACTTTAACCTCACATTGTGTTATCGGAATGGCAAATCCTGTAGCCGAATTTTTTTTACTGTGATTCCATTGTCAAACTAATTCTTAACCACACAGCGTGTTAATTATAGAAATGCTCTTATTTTACGTATTCTGAATATTATAGAATTAAAACATTAGTAACATTAGTAACATTAGTAACTTCAAGTTAAGTAGTAGGTTGATAATATGTATATGAGTATTATTGTTTCATTAATTACATGGGCTAAAGGTCGTATTGTATCTCTAATAAAGGTCATGATAATAAAATCTTTTCAAAGATAATAAATCCCTTTTTTTTTGTTGACCGTTTCCAGTATTTAAAGTTTATGTATAGTTTATACGACTAGTATAGTAAAAATATTTTGCCTCTAAGTGAAGCTCTTGGGTTTAAAAAAATGAATATATTGCAAACGTTCTTTCTAGAAATGGTTACATTCTCAAAAAGTGTATTTACATCAGCCAATCAGACGAATGTTTTGTCTATGAGGGTAAATTTCTGGCCATCTGGGCAGGGACCCACAAAAATTTGGATATCAAATCGCAAAAATTTATTTGGGTATCGACTAAAATTTGGATTATTTTTCTTTAGAAAGCGCTTAAAATTTCCGACTAGACGTTATTCAAATTTTTGGGCCCATGATTTTCTGGGTCTCTAAATAGTTAATATTCATGGTTAGATCACATGAAACCTGAAAAAATTTTGGATCCAAATTTTCCGTGTCCGGTAGCCTCGTAGTAGGAAATAAGGGTGCGATTCTTCGTTTTTATATGATGTCGTAACGGATTCATAATCACTAATTAGTAAAAAAACACGTTTGTTATTTCAGCATTTCCCGGGGAAACACAAGCATTGCAATCATCCAGAAACGTGGAATAATTGTTCTGATCTAACACACATATTAATTTGACGCGTAATGTGTTGTAAAAATCTTTTGATTCAGCTGTTTTCGATTAGTTGGATTGATTACAATAACTAAATTAGTTATACTGTGTATATTTTTGTCAGTATTTTAATTATTCATATATTTGCCCTTTTAAGCTTCTTCACTAGCTAAATTTGAGTCCCGGAGCTGGTGATATACGGTTAATTATTTGGACTTACTAGAACCAGAGCGTTAAAACAGGTTTAGGTAATTTCCTAAATCAAAAACAGCGATATTGTTCGCTTCCATGATGCATATATGAGATAGTTTTTTTTCCACCACCACTGGAGTTTTCAGATTATTAGTCCCGTGTTCAGTATTTTTTATATTGATATAGTATTTTTAATATATCAATATCGATATAGAAAATCGGACATGAGGAGTTCAGGAGGTCAGTTTCCTTTTCTGGGTCACTCACACGTGGTTTTTTTTCGCGTATTATGAAATATTTGTTTTTATAAACCCTCTCCATAGCACGCTTATGTCTGATGGTAATTTTGACCCTTTTTGGAGTAGTTATTGCACTGGGGGACTTTAAGTTTGTCCTGGTTATTTGGCTTCTGAATGCAGACCGGCAATGTCATGATATGCCTCACTTTAGTTTCAAATAATGTCTAGGTTTAAATTGTCCTGTTAAAGAATATACTCTACCCAACTTTAATCAAAACATTAGTGGGTTTACATTTTACTCATTTCCTTTTTACGGGTTTCTTTTTTTTTTAAAAGAAATTTGAAATAATTGCAATATAGGTTTAATTTTGCGCGGATAGTTTATATGAAATATATTAATATACATTTGTGATTATTACATTTGCAAAAAAAGTTTATATTGTTGGATTTTGTTTGATAATTTTCTTTTTTTAATTAAGAAATCCGATTTTTGGGCTTAATATAATGACGGAGTTGTACTTTTAAAATTTTTTATTTTAGAGTCTATTCTCGAATATTAAGTGTGCAGAAATAATATCTAGTGATTCTGCCAAAACTAATTTTCAGTTTAGCTGCGTCGATTTTTTTCAAAATTTTTGCTGGTCAAATAATAATTCGCATATAAATTTTTGATTATTGTAAAGTTGTTATTTTTATTTTTTTGCTATATTTTATTGCAAATATCAAGAGTAATTTATAGATTTATCATAATATATTTATCTTCGTGAATATGAAAGATATTAAAATCTATAGATTACATCCAATCATTTTATATTCGATTTTGCTTTAATCACATCACCTGTGGAGGATTTCTATTAGCTGATATATTAAAAAAAATTTCAGATTCCCACCCTGCTGAATATAAAAACCAATTATATAAATTTTGTATAGTCTAAGTAGTTATCGAGATATTCTCGCTCAAGCTTGGAACTTTGAACAATGAAAAAGGTTGACTTCTACACAAGTTTCGAATAATATTGAAAAATATAATCGATAGGCAATTCAGAATCTCGGAAATTTTTCATTATCATTGCAATTTTTTACAGGGCCACACCTTTTTGAATTCATATAATTAAAAATCGAAATTTTAATTAGGACCAATAAGTATAATCAAAAACACACTACGCAACCATAGCCCTGATATTGGGCATTCAGGAAGTCATCCAAAGTAATAACGAAACTTTTAGGCAAATAAAATTCTTGATAGACCAGAAGTTCAAAACCACCTCCTGCGGTCTAATTAAAAATGCATTTTACTGAGACACTACATTGTTATAATATAACCTAACCTATCGCAAATTTTGATTGGTCAAAAATTACAATTTTTGTCAGTGTCAAAATAAAATTCAAAAAAGTATGCGCAGCATTTATGAAACATAATAAAACCCGCAGATTCCAAGAAAATTTGCTTGTGGAATGAATTTTCAATCTGCTTATCGCAAATTTCGCATATAGATTTCAAAACACTTGCAAGAGGTTTACAGCTAGTAATTAGTAATTGCTTTAAAATAATCCTATTTCAATGTAAAGCTAGCCTTGATCTTTTATTGAAAAGATTAGATACTGAATAAATCGTATTATGGTTTATGTATTATAGTGCTAATTAAAATATTGTATCATTTCTCAATTTAAATTTATTTTTTAAGTACGTCGTTTATGACTATATCTCTAATGATGTATAGGTGCTATACGAGAAAATGACTCTATATACAAAAAAAAAACAACTTTTTGTAATGATCAATCAGAAATCAATCGGCTAAGCCGAAAATTAGCTTTAATTGATTTTTATTAGTAAGGATAACTAGTGAAAAACTAGTGTTGCATCTTATTGATGATGGAGTTGATATTAATATCTCAATATAATCAAGGCTTTGTCAATATTTCACAAGATTTTAAAAAATTATTTAGCAATTGGTTTATTACCAAAACTAATAATTTTATACAATTAGATCATAAAGACATTGATATTGAAGGTTATTATCATTTGCTATTTTTTTTTTCTTGTCATTCAAAGTAGTGGTTGGACCCGGATAGGCATCACCTGAGTCACCCGCGGGTGGGTCGGGTATCGGGTTGCAGTTATGTCAACCCGGGTAAGAAGTAACGGGTCTACCTGTAAGACC